TGAACTTCAGTTTTTGGCCATGCAATATAGACGGTGTTTACTTGACTGTACACTTTATAATGCATTCGTTTATTTATTTGTGTTATTACTTTCTGAAAACACTGTATGTCCAAGTAATGAAGTGAATTCCAAGCATGAAGAAGTCAACTTAAAATTTACTCAAAAATGTGACTTAAAATATACTACAACTTCAGGTTATGTAATAATGTACTTTGAAAGTATGCTTTCAATGCATTGTTACAATGATAATTTTCAGCACACAGTTAAAAAATATTCATAAAATATATTTAAGTAAAGTGCAAATAAATATACTTAATAAAAAATAATCAGAAATTTCAATTCAAGTATATTTTTGTAAAAGATATATTTTTTTAGAAAATATACTAAATTACAATTGTTTTAAAGTGTGTTAAAAGTTGTATTGTGAAAATAGACAAAAGCATGATGCTAATATACTTTTTATATATTTAAAGATAGTACATTTTTTGTTAGTATATTTGCAATGTACTATTAAAACCGGTAATATATTACAAATACAATAAAGTATACTTTTTTTTCACTAGGGCAGGATCTGCAATTCACCATCGTCCTCAGTCATCTCCCCTTACTCTGTTTATGTGGTAAGTGAAATTTTATGTTGCCTACTGTAATATAACAGGCATTATGTAATGTCTGCAACCCGTAAGTAAACTTCTCACACATTGCCAGCATAATCTGAAATTATAGTTTGTAAATAGTTATGCAACGCTAACATGATGCTAACCTGTTGCTAACTTGATGCTGACGTGTTGTATCAGTAGGAAAGCAATAGTTACGTAGATTACTGCATTCAGTTTAAAACAATAAAATAAAATTAATAACCATTCAGAAACATCCTGTTGTAAGTGCATTTGAGGAGGTGGATGGTTGTCTCCTGTCGTCGCCGATTCGGGGTCTAATGCTGCGTTCAAGTCCTCCTGGGACTTCGTACTTACGAGTTGACAAGTCGTAATTACGACGTCAGGTGCGTTTAAGTCAGTTTAGTCGGCACAAGATGGCGGTGTATCTTCTTTTAATCAATTACAAGAAAATACAACAGGGTCTGTTAACTCTGCTTATAGAAAATGAAGAGCAAAGAATTCGCATCAGGTGTGTTTTGCGTTTTTAATATTTTTAAAAAGTAATTTATGAAGCCACTTTAATCTGTATTGCATAAAAACTTCATCAAAACTATCAATTTAAACAAAAATTTACCGTCAACTACAGACGTTGCATCCATCGATTCCGCCATGTTTCCCATTGACACGCCCCCAACTCGGAAACTCGGGGCTTAAAGAAAATTTAGACAACAGGCCAATCAGAAGAGAGGCTCATGACTATTAATTAGACAGGCCAAAATCGACCTGTTCTAAGCAGAGCTCCTGAGAAAGGAGCTGTAAAAAATCTATTTAGATGGTTGTTGGTACTTATACTGCAAATATATTCTTAAGGACATCAAAACCTAAAATAAAACTCCAGAAAGGTGTATAATATGTGACCTTTAATGCATCCTTGCTGAATAAAAGTATTAATGTCTTTCAAAAAAATCTTATTGACCAAAATATTTTGAAATATTAAAAAATACAATTCTGCACTGTTTCTGTCAATCAGATGTTAGCAAATTTGTGACAAATTTAAATTTTAAAATTTTTTATTAAAATGTTAACCATAACCCCCTTTGAGGTCCGACGCTAAAGTGCCCTTGCAGTCTGGTCTGCCACCGGTCCGCGATTTCTGCCGAGGGTAGGGGTGTGCGATCAGGCCCGTAACCAGCTATGTTTCAGGTAAATTTTTCATGTTCAAAAATAAAATTTGTACTTTGAATGACTAATTTGCTGTTAAACTCCTCATATGAATGCCTGCATGACATGTATAATTCAGTTTAGACAGTTTGCAAGAATGTTTAGCGTCCCTATTGTACTTCGAATGACTAATTTGCTGTTAAACTCCTCATATGAATGCCTGCATGACATGTATAATTCAGTTTAGACAGTTTGCAAGAATGTTTAGCGTCCCTGGTATGAAAATGATACCCTCCCATAGCGGGTATGAAAATGATACCCCCCAACAAATTTTACCGTTTATAGTAGCTTTGACACTTCATTCGCACTCCTAACTGCATTTTTTGCTCCATGTGCCAAACTGATACAAGTTTGTTGCATTTGTGGAATTTCCGTCAACACATTAGTTGCTACAATCGGAAGTGCTTTGCTATCAGAAAACGCAGCTGTCAGTGTTATGCCTCTTAAAGGGATACTTAATTCCTAAATAAATAAATAAAAGAAGAAAAAGATATGTAATGATTAACTCCAAACCTGTATGATTTTCTTTATTTTGTGTATTGCAAACGTGTAGGCAATAAAAGTAGCCTACTGTAAACGGTGAGTGAGGCTGACTAAAGTTACGCCTTAATTAGAAGGCGTAACTTTTATTCTCGCTGTAGTATTATTGTTGCTGCCGCCAGGTCGTGAAGGCACTGTGTGTTTCGTTGTGAAAGCGAAACTACTTTGTTTGCTCCGGCCGGGACACAGCATCACAGTATGGTGAGGGGCGTAACATTTCCGTCACACGCTTGAGGTATTCAGCCAATCACAACGCACTGGATAGCTGGCCAATCACAGCACACCTCGCTTTTTCAGACCGATGAGCTTTGTAAGAATCGACGCGTTTCAGAAAGGCGGGGCATAAAGGAGAAACAATAATGTACAGTATGTGGAAAATAATGTGTTTTTTTTTTAACCTTTAACTGCATAAACACATTTCATTACACCAAATGTTCTTTTTAGCAACATCATATGACCCCTTTAAGATTATATTTAAATGCTTAGTTTTAATATCAAAGCTTAAATGTAGGGGAAAAAATATGTAATTATTTTTGTTATACCTTGGCAATAAAATGGTATATTCATTTGCATATTCTAATGTGGATATCACACATGAACAAGGATGAAGTTTGAAGCTGAACAAAGTATGCATTCATGACCAAATTCGTGAAATGTGAAACAAAAGCCAATGTGTTGATTTTATGAACACTACACACCACCACAAGAGGGCAACATTTCCCCAACATCATTACAACAGGGCGTTAACAATACAATGCACATGGTGTGATTAATGTAGTACTGCTAGATGCCCCGTAGTTTAATTACCTTCAGAGAGATCCTACTTAGTCTGTCTGAGTGTGAACAGTCTGGGTGTGATTCATTTGCAGCCACAGTGGTCCAGTAAACGTCCTTCCCCTGAAAATGACTCCTCATGGAAGCAAAACCATAATAAAGGGTGTCTGAGGGTGTCATACGGCCCCTCAAGCATTAGTAGTTTATCTTTTGTAGTTTATAATTTGAATAAAATACATTCTACATTTTCTGCAATAGTGGTTTGTGTGACAAAGGAAGCTATTAAAACATTTAATGATTTAACTTCATTTTACTTCTAGCATATGAAAGCAGAGCCACACATTGTGAACATTTGTCTACACTGCATTTAGGCCATTGTGAAGGCAACATTAAAATAGGGCTGTCTTACCCAATGAAGATGACTGACTGTTGTCACTCTGCCCATCAATCACACTGTAAGCACATTCGAGACAAGGGGCAAATGACCCACTTGGCTCACTAAAACCACGGTATTCATTTACACAATATAAATTTACATAAGACAGTGTTGCCCATAAACATGGAATTTTTTCTATAGTTGTATTTTAATATGCACAAATCTGTTCTTGCTTTTTTAAAGCATGCTATACCACAAAAGCCAATAAGGTCCAATGTTGTTTTGGACCCCAATGACTTAAATTCTATGGACAAAAACATCTGAGACGATTAAAAATATATTATTTTGTGTTTCACAAACATAGAGGTATGGAATGACATGAGGGTGAGTAAAAATAATAAAATAATTTTAGGGTGAACTATCACTTTAAGACCAGTGTTATTTACGTATTATTGATATACTACTATAGTTTTTGTTTTGAATGAGATTTTTATTAAATTTTCATTCTGATTATAGTTAAGGTTAAGTTATAATTAAGGTTTTTGTGTTTTAAATTCTTCTTCTTTTTTTTTTAATGTCTATATAGTTTTTTTATTAAGTTTTAATTTTAGCTTTAGTTTATTTAGTTCTATTTATTTTAGCACTTTAAATGAAAGTGAGAAATGTTGCCTTGGAAACTACACTGAAAAAAAATGGTTTACAAACTATTTTCTCTCAGAAATACTGTTAAATATCTCAAACAATTACAAAGAAACGGCAAGTAACACATTGAATTAAATATGAAATTTTGAAGTAGAAAAACTGAAATAGCATGTACTCCAAAAAATTTACTCCAATAACCGTTGATTTATTTACAACTTTGACAAAAAACTTTTTATTTTACAGTGTAGCTGAAATAAAATATTTTTCATATTTAAACATTTTTTATTTTTATATTTAAATATTTTATTTTAGTTCATGTTTATTTTTATTTCAAATTTTGAAAATGATTTTTATGGTTTTAGTTTTTTAGTAACTCATGCCATGCACAATGGAGGTTGAAGAGGTTCCGTAGGTTTCTAGTATTTGATTCATTTTGGTTATCAAAGCTCTCAGTTTAAATCTAGGTCAGTTGTCACTGCCTTTAATTGTGCTTCAACACAAATTCACTCTCTCAACTAATTTTTAGCCATGCCAGAAATGCAGTGCTTATGAAACTAGGCTCCTGACTGGAGTTGAAACGCATAAACCCTTTTCCTTGAGGTCAGCCGGCAGCTACTGTATGTTTGTATGAGAGAGAGGGTGCAGAAGAGACAGAAAAACGATAGGGGAGGGGTAGAGGAGTGTGTGTGAGGGTGTGGGGGGAGAGAAAGGCTGCAAGAATGAAAGCTGTGAGGCGAATGACGCACGATTATCTCCCCCCTACCCGCTGATTGGCCACGCAGGCCGCCTGTCAGAGAGCCCAGGTTTAGGGATGTGCGTTCAGAGCAGATTATGAAGCAGACCTCGTCTCTGGCAGTCTCATCAGATTGTCTCAATGGCTAAACACAAGCTTTTCCTGTTTTTTTCTCTGTTACTGTGTGTGTTTATCTCTCTGTCTTTGCCCTTCGATCAAGTGCCTGCGATCCTGGACAGGAGGTAAGAGCTGCGCTTTCAGCTCTAGCGTGGGGAGGGGGAATGGGGCAGTGATGCTGTGCAGCGGATGCACTGTCTTAGTCTTTTACAGTGGGCAAGAGACAGCAAGAAAATGCGCTTTATTAGGAAAACGTTGAAAGAGCATTCGTGGAACTCATAAATTAATTTGACATGTGTGGGCTCTAGATTCAGAGCATGTTGTGGTTCTGCTGCAGTTTTTCTTCTCTGTAACTGCAAGACATGCAAACATGGCTATGACAATGGGACAGCAGGCAGACCCCATCCAGTGTCTGTAGGAGTCAGTTTACAGATGCTACTCCAAGAAACAGAAGAAAGAAGTGAGATTGTGATGGCTCTTGCTTTTTGTGCATCTCGAAATACACAAAATAATCAGTTTATTTTTCACTTTTACAGTTGCTGAATTCCTTTACTTATATCAGAGCTGGAATAGCAAAAATATGGGAATTTAGTTGAATTTATTTTTATTTCTTTATTTATTTACAAACTCAGTGGTAACATCTGATATTACTGTATGAGAACAAGCAGGAATAATAAAAAATGGAGCCATTAATATATAATTCTAGAATTAATTAATCTATTAAAGTTAATAAAGTTTCACAAAAAAATACAAATGTGAAACTTCACAAATTATTTTACAGCTATTTTTCTGTGCTATTAATCTAATATCTACATTCTGTAAATTGTATAGTTATTTCATATTTAATAGTTAATAGTAATAAGTTTATATTTTATATGTAATAGCTAATAGTAATAAGTTTTTTTATATAAAAAGTGTATACTTTTTGTTATATATTTTTGTATGTTATTTATATATATTTTATATTATACCTTCATTTTATTTCAAGTAACGAAATAATTTTTTTCTTATGGTTTCAGCTTAGTTTTAGTTAACCATTGTTTTGGAAAAAAATATAGAAATGCTCACTGTAGGTGATATATATATATATATATATATATATATACACACATATATACTGTATATAAGTCAAGGTTTTGTCACGTTTAATTTGATCAACAAAACTATATTTAGATGTAAGTGGTTATTTTTCTCATATCTGTTACCTAGAATTTCTCAGTTATCCATGCCTTTATATGTGAATATATGAATAATATATGTGAATATATTATATGATAGAGATCAAGATGGGTTTTAGGAGTAAAAAGTGTTGAGAGGTTTACAACCCTCCTCAAGTTTCTCAGGGTCAATGTATACGGCAGACCAAAACAGACACAAATGGCAGCCAGTAGAATTAAACCAAAGGCTATAATCTTATTACCATCAAACAGACAAATCTATTTTAAAACATTGTTGTGTTTGTAGAGTACTGTGCTAGTGTGTGCTAGTGTAGGCTACTGTGCTAATCTGTATGCTAAACCTATAATCTATATATGCAAAAGATGATATTGAGCTCTGACAGCGGCAGTGAGGTGAAGACATAGTGTGAGCACTGCTTTTCATTACATAAATGTTCAATTCAGCACTTAGGCTACTGTGTCCAGCCATAACCAATGACAGCAGCGCAGTCCTCAGCTGCTGACCTCAGTAAACTGGCATTAGAACAAAGGCGAGAGTCACTCCTCGTGTACACACACTCCTTAGCAGGGCTCTGAAGACCAGATTTGCTGTGCTTACACTGTTTTTAGTTTTGAATTTTTAGCAGAACTACACAGAAAGAAGAAAAAACTGTACAAATGAAGTTCTAAAGCTCTTTATTTTATGTCATTTTGGTGTTAACATTGTTTTTGGTCCTTATTTTTTAGCAGAACTACCCAGAAAGAAGAAACAATGGTACAAAAGTAGTTCTAGAGCTACTAATATAAATGATTTTTATATGTCATTTCTGTTCTTACATTGTTTTGGATTAGATTTTTTTTTAGCAAAACTAGGCAGAGAGAAGAAAAAAACTGTACAAATGTAGCTCTAAAGCTCTTCATAGGTCATTTTTTTGATTTTCACACCTGCATTTGTGCCGTATTGTCACCTTGATTGGATTATAGCGGTTTTATGACTCAATATGCTACGTCGCTGTTGATTCAGTGCTCATATCGTGCTAAGGAACTGAATGAACTTAAATGCTCCATGCGGTAATCTGTTTATTTTCCCCACATGTTTTGCTGTATTTTTTAATCTCTTGTATGATCACAAAGCTCTAAGCCAGGGCTGTCCAAACTCGGTCCTGGAGGGCCGGTGTCCTGCAGAGTTTAGCTCCAACCCTAATTAAACACACCTGAACCAGCTAATCAAGCTCTTACTAGGCATAGAAACTTCCAGTCAGGTGTGTTGAGGCAAGTTGGAGCTAAACTCTGCAGGACACCGGCCCTCTAGGACCGAGTTTGGACAGCCCTGCTCTAAGCACTAAAGTCCAGTGTAAAGGAGGGTGGGGTGGACGAACTGGTGTGGTACGTAAGAGATGAACCTAAAGAGAGTGAACCAGGGCCATCTGATGCTCTCATTCGACTAAATGTCTTATCTTCTCTTGAGACACTAATCTGGACTGAAGATGTCAGACTTGTGGTCATGCATCACTGCTGCATCAAGATGAGTGGATCTATGGGAACTCTGTCTTAGATGTTGATAAGTAGGCCACAGCCTGACATAAAGAGATCAACCCCTCTTTTTGTTTTGCTTTGTTTTTCCATTACAGCTCGGAGGTCCCACCATATCAAGCTGTGAGAATTAGAACAGGTCAGTATCTATTACTTTAATGGCAGTTATGCTTTTTGGGTTTGCTTGCATTATTTGTTTACCTTTCCAGCTTCTTTTAAATGTAATAATATCATTTTCTGCTGGCTCATTTTTGTGCATAACAGTACAGTATAAGGTCATACTTGTGTTTATCTATTTATTTGCGTTACGTTGAACATTGTGTGTGACGCCAGGTTGAAAGAAACAGTTTTGTGCTACATTTCAATAAACAAGACTTTTTCCATAAGGGAACTTACAGTTTAGACACTATATTTTAAGTGAACTATTTTTGCTCCACCAGCGAAAATGTTTCGAAACGAAGCCACAGCAGAATCAAACATTACATGTCACTAAATAACACACAGCAGTGGAGTTTGTTCCTAAATGTGTTTTGAACAAATTGGTTGAGTGAACAATTCAATGACTCACTCACTAAAAACAGTATTTTTTAACGAATCAGTTGTCTGAAAATGCCTAAATGAATCACTTCAATTCACAACCTGCTGAAAGAGTCACTGAAAAATCCCCACCACCAATCAAACTGATACTTACTGTTGTATCATGGGAGATTAAAAACTGAGGCTTTATTTAAAAGTTTATCAAAAGCTAATGCAAATTGAATATTATTTAATCTCAAACTGAATTAAACTATACATTGTGGTTATATTGTATATTGCACTGATTGTAACATTCTATAAGTTTTATCTCTAGATTTTTATTTGTCTTTTTGAATTTCACTTTCATACTGCAGAAATGAAAGCTATTTTTTCTAGTATATTCACTTTATGTGCTTAAAAGTAAAGCAGCGATTTACTGTGCTGAAAGAACTCACCAAGCCATCTCCCCCATTGTCCTATTTCAACATTTTGTGATGCAGATGGAGAACATGTTGAGAGTTCAAGTGCCTCACACGAGGAGAGTTATTCGCCTGCAGCTGAAAATCCACTCAGAAGAATACTGCAGGTATTGCATTTTCCCTGATAGTCAATGTGACCTTGGCTTCCATAAGCAACATCTCTGCCTTAATTCATCCAGCATCCTAAAAGACCCATAACACAGTGACAGTTTTAAAAATAGCGTATTTTGAGGAAAAAAGCATTTGTGGGCCAGGGAATATCTGTCATATCTACTGTCTGAACCCTGAGTGTTTTCTTCTGTAAAACCCATCAATAATGCACTTGTTCCATACATAGTTGCCCAGTTTTTCCTGTTATCATTTTCAAACAGCCTTTTGGATGGCACCTGCATGCCCAGCCCAGAACCAAGCGGAAGTTACTACAGTCTACCAGCTCTGGACCCTACTCCCCACTGACTGTAGCTTACAACGGCAAGATATGCATCCTTTTCAAAGCGAAGAGACTGGCTATTCGATACAGAAACAACACTTTCCTGGACCTCACAGAGAGGGTATTTCGACCCAGTGCACAAGTAGACACCAAAGGCTCTGTTTGTACAAAGGAGAAGGCCATGTATGTAAAAAAATTCTTCCTGCCATAAATTCAGTATCATGTATTGCAGCTGTCTTATTTACTAGTTAGAATGGTATAGTTTTAAGTTAATGATTATATATTTGTAGATTTTGAATTTTATACAGTGGCCCCAAAAAGTATTTGGACACTTAGCCATTATGCTATATATTAAAATAGATTTTTGTTATATAACAATGTATTAAACAAAATATTGAACCAAGTGGCATTTATTTAAGAGAAAAAAAAAAGATTTTATTTCTGAAAATAACAAAATAATAAAACAGAAGCTGTATTGTTAAAACATTTTTTAAAGTATTTGAACACTCAATTCTATATTTTTAAAAAGAAATTAATATTTTTAATCAGCAAGGATGCATTAAATTGATCAAAAGTGACAATAAAGACATTTATAATGTTACAAAATATACTATATTTCAAATAAATGCTGTTCTTTTGAACTTTAACACATTTCCACTAAAATATTACATAAAAATAGTAATATAGTATAACTGTTTTCGATGTTAAAATTACATTTTAATATTTAAAACTGTTATTTTAAATTATAATAATATTCTTTTTTTTTTCCTGTATTTTTGATCAAATAAATGCAACCTTGGTGAGCATAAGAAACTTCTTTCAAAAACATAAAATCGTAAAAATTTGGTGGTTTATGCATGTATATATAGTTTTTTTTAGTTGTACTGATGAGAGTCTTACATTTTTATAGGCTGTCTTTACATTTGGGTGATGTGGAAGACATCAGGGGACTTGTCATCAGGTAAACACTCTTTTATCTTCTCGACGTATCCGTCAGATGCTTGCACAAAACCTCACCGACTGATAATTACATTCAGTCGTTAATTACTTCCTCTTGTCTGTTTTCTGAAGGCTTCAGATGTCCAACACATATTATGAATCAGTAGGCCAGAACTGGTTCACTCTGGACAGTGTTCACATCCACTACAACTGGACTCATGAGGCCACGTTCAATGCCACGGAGGTCTATGCCCCTGCCACCTATTCTTACCACTGCCAGCATGTCAGCAGCTTACAGAAATATGACACCCTATTGGTGCCCAGCTCCCACACTGACAGCTCGGCAAACTGGCACATCACATTCACAGATTTTCAGGTAGCTGCCACAAAATGTGCTTGAGTGTTATCAGAAGTTTACTAAAGTTCAGTATTACTTATTTGAAAATTACTTTGAATATATTTATAGTAAATGCTAAAAAAAAATGGTTCCATGAAAAACCATCACTGGTATCAAAATTGGTTATTCTATGCCATCGCTGTGAAAACCCCCTTTTGAAATCTTTTATTTTTAAGAGTGTATAACTGTGTTCACATAGCATTGTTGCAATTAATTTGACATGGCATGGAAAAAAAAGCTAAAAAAAACCCCAGCAAGATGTGTTGACAGCAAATCAGATTGTCCTTTCTGTGTAAGGACTCTCAATCGTACAACCCAGGAAGCCAAAATTAATGGAATTAAAAAAAAAATAAATATTATAAATTATATTTAAAAATAAATATATATTTCAAGACATTTCTTATACATCAGTCAACATACACAGGTCTAGTTCATGTTTAAGTACCCAATAAAATTTACATTTATTTATTAATCAAGTGAAGTCACCCTTATTTCTATTATAGCACTTCATACAGTTCAGAATGTGTCAAAGCAGGGGGAAAAAAAACAGGAAAATAGCAGAATCAATTATGGAAACTGAACTATGGAGGCAGTTCATATTCTGCTGTAAAGCAGCTCTAAAAAACAATAGTGTCATTATTCAGATCAAGTCAGTTCAGTGTATTTTAATCGTGATCACGATTTCCTATTGTCTCGATTTATTAAGCATAATTGTCATTGATATTTGCCGGCTGCTATTTATCCTGAAACGCGTTATGCATTTGGCAGATGTTTTTATCTAAAGTGACTTGCATTGCATTCAAGGTAAACACTTTTTCAGTTCCATGCTTTACTGCCTCAGCTACAGGAATTAATTGAAAGAAATGTATTTGTTATTTTTAACTACAGTATCTCAGACAGAAAACATTTATTTTCGATTTCTTTTCCCCCAGATCCAGGCTTTTAATGTCCAGTCCAACAAGTTTGCTTCAGCAAGCGACTGTGCAACCTTCTTCACTCCAGCAATCTTGATGGGCCTGATCACCTCCCTGATTCTGCTGCTGGTGTTGGCCTACGCCCTGCACATGGTCGTCCACCTCAAGCACATTGACCGTTATGAAGAGCACAAGACCACCGTCTACTTCCCCCGCACCCCCGAGGCCGAGCTCCCAGACAAGAACAGCGTGTGAGGAGCGACGACAGTGCTGTAAAACCAGCAAAAGACCAGCATGGAAAGGATTGCTAGTTCTGATTCTGGATGTCTGCGTTGTCCTCTTGGTCTTCCTCCTGCCTGACACTACATCCTCTCTTTATCACTGTCTTAACCTAACTTCTTACAGTCAGAGGATGAGATTACCTGATCAATCAGGTGTTAAAACCCAGGCTGGAGCCAAGCCTGGACAGATCACGGCTTTCCAGGACCAGGACTGGGAAGCCTATGAAATGGGGACAAAAAAATGTGAGATTGCCTTTTAATAGACCACCATTATGGCGGACTTTTCAAAGCACTTCGCTGACTGGAGACAAGTAATGTGGTTAGAAATATACAAATTGACAATGTGGTGGTGGCTGAAGAGAAAAGACTGTGAAACAGAAATGACTGTGGCCTGATATGGAAGTCTCCTGGGTTTTTTATTTACAGTACTTCATAAATCACCATCTCATTCATCTGGAATGGAGTCTGCAGACTGATCTGCCAAATTACAAGAACTGTTTTATGACTGCCAAAGTGGTGCAAAACTGTTTGTCAGCCTTGATGGGTAACTTGACAGTAATAATGTGAATACGAAACATACAAAACAAACCATAAAATGTACAGCGCTTAATACTATTTATGTATTCCAGAACTATACAATGTAGATTCAGGAATTCCATAAATATACTCATTGGCTTTAAATTATCAGCTAGATATTCATATAGATCTAGATTCAACTGCTGTTTTAGTAATTAACAAACATCCGGTATTAAGCACCTTCAAATCTATAAATATTAAGTTCGTAATGCGTATTGCAAGAAAAAATACGTTTTTAAAGCTTCGGAAACTGATATATTGCACAGAATTTTTTTTATATGATCTCATACTTGCTATGCCGTCCCTTTTCAGGTGGAATATATTAGGACTAATAGATGAATTTAGCACCCCTTGAGAATTTATAGTACAGACAGTATAACTATAGTGAGGTAATGCTGAAGGAATGCTGTACAATTATTCATGTAAGTGTTTAATACCCTCAGTATCATAATCAGTATACCTCTATATCTACAATTATAACATCAGTAACTCATTATCACAATAACCTGCAGCATGACAATGACTAGCGATAAACCTCTACCATGGCACGTCTGATACTGGAGGTAGCAATGTGTAATGTGTTCATTTGAATGACGGTCGTACACACTGAAGTGCACAAGAAGTTTCCTGAACATCGTCAATTCAGTCTGAACAATAAACAGTGATCAGATCAAAACAGTGCATCATACTTTTATATCTTCAATGGTTGAGAAACGTTGCATGCCTTTTCAGTATTGTTCTCTATTATGGTAAACAGTGGTCGTGGCCACACAGACTGCTGCTGTAGGGATCACCGCTGTCTTTCGAGCCCACCTCATGCTGGCTGTCTGCTACGGCCCTGTTTTTTTGTGGTGAAAAAGCAGCAACCCCCTTCTGTCTGATTTTTTCCTGCCCTTTCTGCCATCTGCTCTCCTCTCACACTTCTCAGCAGGAGCCTGCGGCGCTGCCCTCTTAACGGGACAGTTTACCTGTCTGCCTTCGAAACGAACTTTACTCACACATGCACTAGTGATGGGAAGTTCGGATCATTTTACCGACTCGGACCTTTGAGTCTCGTTCACTCCCTGAGACGACTCGTTCCTCCCGAGTCACATTAAAGATTCGTTCAAAATGAACGAATCGTTCAAGAACGACCCAACACTAACATGCACTACTTTCTGCGTCGCTGACTCTCACAGCACAGCGTGTGTTTTCCTGCAGGGTCTAAAAGCCTCACAGCTGGCTTTAGTTTGGCTTTGTGATACATATACAAACAATATTGTGTTGGTTTAGTCATGGCTGAGTGCTACTTTCTAATGGTTTATTCCTTAATTGTTTACTTTTATTCCACGGCGCTCTGGTATACTTGATTCTGATTGGTCAATCCGTCGTCCATGGCTACTATTATATTTCTCATATCACTCAGCAAACTCTTGTTACATACGAACACAACTATTGTTATCAACTGTAGTGAAAATGACCTCAGAGGACGACAGTATTAATATTACTGTTGTTGCAGTGTTTGTCTTGTTGCTAGGCTGATTATTTTGTACATTGTATTAGACCATTTTTGTCAGTGGAAGCATCAAGATAATATAAAGATAAAATTATAAAATAATTCTCAAATCAATATTGTGGTGTCTGTGATATGATACTTGAACACAACACAACACAAGACGAGGTGTATACGTGAACTCACTTCAGCTTTTACTTAACAGGATCACCACATACAAAACAGGCATGAGCAAACAATCCTGCACGTGTTGAACAACAGACATACATAATAGAACAACGATGTCTGTCATGCCGGTGATATACAACAAATATTTAATCATGTCCATCACTTTTTTTTTTTGGCAGTAGCAGTGGATTCATTTCCTTACTTAATTTCCAATTGGGATCATGTACAATCAGCTGGTCATTATCACAAAATAAACCCCAACACTTCACTTTCATCTGCATTTGGGCAAAGACTGTAGATCCCTATTACTAATTATGAAAATGTGATTTTTGAAGAGGCCTTATGATCAAAATATAGTAAGATAATAATTATCATTATAATAATTACAAAGGTATTTCTTTTGTATGTTGATTCAACGTACAAATCTTGTTCAAATTTCAACATTGATTTATAAGTATTTCGTTAACCTTTTTAAAACCAGTAAGCATTAAATGTTGTTTCAATTTTTTTCAACATTCATCAGGGTTTAAGGTCGTTTATGTGCTGGCTGGGCATGTATGTACTGTAAACACACCACCTCATTACATGCTAAAAAAAACGTCACATTTAATATTGAATATAAAAATATTCAGTGTAAGTATTAGAGTGGATAAAAGAGAATGGAAACGATAGAGAAATTGTCTAATCTTAATCTAGCCTACAAAACACTGAATTATTCAGGCACCTGAGACCCATTTTTAGATCCAAATCTTGGATCATTTTGTTATCATTACAAGCTCCACATGCTTATATCTCAGGGATTTATGACCATGACTCATCCCTTTCAAGGATTCAAGGTTATAGTGATGGCACTGGACAAGGTCACTTCAAGGTGAGTGATATTCTCCTCTGGCGATTGGGTCTGATTTTTCTCTTGTGCAGTCAGCACTTACGTGGGCAAGAACAATGAATGAGACAGGTTTGCTCTGTCGCCATGACGACAAAGGAAAGATCCATACAAACCCTTTCAGTCTTCATCTGAGGATGGCAAACTCCATATCCATATCAGTTGCTTTGCAAAGATTAGCCAGCATAAGTCAGCCTGAAGGAGAAAATATAATTATTTCATAAAGAGATTTAAAGGGATGGCACTAGAAATCCAATGCATATGTCTAATGTAAAATTAAATTAAATTATGCAAAATGCACAACAAGATTGCACAGATTTTCTATAAGGTAGGTAAATAGCAATATGTAATTTATGTGAAGATTCAAGAATAAAAGTTTTGTTAAAATAATGTGAGACTTCCAGTCTATCTATCTATCTATCTATCTATCTATCTATCTATCTATCTATCTATCTATCTATTTTTATTTTTTACTGACAGTTCAATAGATTTGAAACCATTCTGTAGCCTTAAATGCTAGATTTATAAATATTTATAAATAATATAATAAGGTCACACACTTTTTAAAATTTGGTGTTGATCCATATCAGTCAATAGCCAATCTATTACAATTATCTGAGAAAATTAAAGCAGAAGCACCCAGACATATTTGAAACATGTTGAAGAGATTAATTCAAAATAATAACTTCATCCTTTTCCCCTAGCACTCAAAATCATGGTTGTTTACATTTGGATACCCTCTAAAATATTAAATAAACATGTGACTATAAACCATTGCTAGCAAGAAATGCATGTATTTGTAAAGGATCAGCGGTGTATTTTGCATGTTTACTATAGACTAGCCATCTTCAAATGATCGGAGCACTTTGACGTGTCACGTGATTGACATCTTGACACGCAATAATATAATTTATGAAATCACAGTGCTTTGGTTGGCATTTGGCATTGATACAAGCACGAATGACCACTATTGTTAACCGTTTTTACATAAGAGACGCCCTAATGAGGGAAACAATGGGCCTGAGTGTATTCTACTATGCAGCTGCAGCCTCTTTAGATGCCTCAGGGCTCTTGTGTGCCCATGATGTGAGCGAGACCTCCAGACCATCACCACCAGGGGGGCGTCAAATGACGACGCATGCAAACAATTTCCACAAAGAAAACGACCCCTCAGAGTACAATATACTTTAGCAGCGCTTCTATAACGTAGTATGTTTCCACCCAAGCGTTTTACTGCCTGGTTTTGTCAGGTGAACCCCCAGACAAGATATTTCGATGCGTCGGTGCCCTCCCCCCCCCCGCGCTTCAGAATGGACTCGTCCAGTTCTCATCACCGGAGTCGATAGTTAAAGAAGCTTGAATACTGCGGCTCTGTTTCGGCACGGGCTGACGTGACATCACGAGTCTTCAGGTAACGGCATCTGTTTATAGTCCTCAGACTTCAGTGAAGTGAAGCGAAGGTGATGAGTAATCCTCTTAATTGATACAATGACGCTAAGCTGTATTACATAACTGGCATGACGTTATACTTTGAATGTGAGCTATAATTTGACGTTTAAAACTGGAAAAGATGAAGACTTGTGTTTGTGTCATTACAAATCTGTTGCCATTTTGGAAAACCGTGATCATTTTAGTTTTCCGCCTCATTAACTAGCTGAGTCATAATTGGCATCACCTGGAAATGTGTAATTAATGCCTTTACTATTCAAGCCAATTGCTAACATTTTTTTTTTTAAATAGCTAAGTTAATATTTTACAGTAACATTAACATATTTGCTCCCGTGCTCTGTTACAGTGGGGGAAACAATGGAGGAACAGAAGCTGAAAGATCCTGTTAATAAAGTGTCTCTGATCAAAGGTAAAGTCACATTACTGCACTTGAGTTTCTGAAGTTTCTGAAGTGTTTCGAACCAAACTATAGTGCTTTACTGTTCCATTAGGCAATAATTTATAGGATAATAAACCTTGTTTTTTTATATTATTTTTTTATTTTACTTGTAGTATGTCAAAGTACTGTGGGGCTAAAATATAGATTGACTATGTAAATTTAGTTATTTTTGAGCAGAATTGGATTAAATCTTTGTCATATGTTTTTTTTTAAATATTGCATTCATTATTTTTATTATGCGTTTTTAACATGGAAAAAAGACAGATAGAGAGGGGAATAAAATGTATTCAAATGTAGTGTAAGTGACATTTCTGTAAGATATGCGTTTTATATGGCTATAACTATGTTTTGCAGTGCTCTTCAGTAGTTCAGTGCAATGAATAAAACCTTTTGTTCCGAACAAGTAGTTTTACAAAAATCATTTTATTATGCCCAATTTAATCATGCATGGCGGAATTTTCTTGTCATTAGTTGCAATGGAATGGTTTTGGCTGGAACGGTTTTCTAGTCTGTGCTAATACTTTAATCATGGCGGAAATTTTGTCCGTCTGACTTTGTCTTTCTGTCGGTATGTCTATCTTCCTCCTCCACAGACTCAAAAATAAATTAGGCCAGAGCGTTCCTATGTGTCCTCGTATCCTGCTGAGAGATTGAGTTCTTGATGTAGAATGGCATCGATAAACATTACCCACCGCAATACCTCATGAAATGTTAATGCCTCCGTCCTCTCTGCTCTGGCAGTTGTGTTTGGCCTGCACAGGCTTCGGTATTTTAGCTTAGTCACGCTTAGGCATGTGAAGTTCAATTTTCTGGAATTATGTCTCTGATTGCAATGATATGTCCTTGATATGGCCATTTATGGTATACACCCTTGAGTTTATAAGATGAGGTCATATCTTTCTGGAACATTTGATAAGATGGCCTGGTTTTCAGCAACCCATATTTAGAGGAAGAGGAGCAGGTTTGTTTCTAAGTTTAGGCAAACTAGCTAAATTGCAGCCAGTAAACGTAACATTTGCAGAGCAATGCATCAGTTGAAAATCTTCATTAATGTTTTTATAGCAGTTTGAAAACTTTTCCGATTCATTATGAAATGGCACTGTATTACATTAGAACTTTAAAGGGGTCCTATTATGCTTTTTCACTTTTTGAATTTTAGTCAGTGTGTAGTGTGTGTGTTTGGGCATAAAAAAGATCTTCAAACTTACAAATCTCAAAGTCCACTCCAAAGGGAGATATTTTGTATTTTAAAAATCCCTTTTCAAGAACTACAACGAACGGCTCATTTGGACTACAGCGTTTGTTTTCCGGGTTTTGTGATATCACAAAGCGGCCCATTAGAATATCATTAAAATATATTCTCTGGGTCTGAATCCGGCTCAAATTGATATGGTAATATTGACTAAATATAATAACTAAACCGGAGCAGATGGAAACTTGCTGCTTTGGCAAGGGGCGGGGCAGTACTGAAACACCGTCTAAGCTGTTCGCCAATCACAACGC